CTTAGATAAATAAACGACACAAAAAGAAAAATCTTTTATTATCAACAAATAATTACTTATGTATACAGTATAACCAAAGCTATATTATTATGATTAAAACTTTCGTGCGTATAAAGTAATTTTGCCAATCGCCCTAATGCTGTACTACCCGTCTGTACAATGCTTTGAGCATATTTTGTACTAAACACGTGCTACATTGCAAAAATAATAATAATAATAATAATAATTCAAAGTTTATAATAAAAACATTGTTCTAAACTTTTTTCTAAAAAGCGTTACAATAAAATGTATTTCTCTCTAAATATATTTCTTAATCCGGGAGGAAAAAAATGTTCCCCATCAAATATGCTTTTGCGCACCAGTTGATTTACGAGCGTGATGACGCAATAGGATGATTTTTTCGGGTCTTTTCAGGAAAAATTTGATTCGTCTTGATAAAGTCAGGCATTGAAGTGCATGACCAACAACGAAGCACCAGTTTTTTTAGGTTGTCAGAATGACAATGGGGTAAACAATATGTAGTAGTACCATGCCTTGTGAAAACAAGACCACCTGTTCTCTTATCATGAGCATCTTTTTGCATTTAAAACTCTGAATTAATATAAAATAGACCCGTTGCTCGCATATGCAAATTTTTCCGAAACAAAACTCTTTATTTTGAATTTAACAACCGCAAAAATGTCAGTGAATTCACTTCCAACACGTATACGTGATGACGAGAAAGTGCCTGTTCCAATTGAAAATGAGAGCTACTTTTACCAACATTCTCCGGTCAAGTTTTCTGTCGAAATAAAAGAAAAGAAAAATAAAAATGCGCCTAGAAGATATACTGCCTACGGAATGGTCTTCATTACCGACAAGCGACTCATGTTCGTCACCGAGGAGCCAACGTCGGATGGGTTTGAAACTTTTCAGATTTTTTTGGGGGACATCATTTCTTCGGTGATATCTGTAAATAAATACTTCCGGAAAAACGTCTTCTCCGTAACTATTACCTTAAGAAATGGTACGATCATAAATATGGCCATTACTTACGATCTCGAGGACTTGGAGGACAAGAGAATTTTCGAGGACTATTACGGAATGCTCATTACTTGGGCCACCAAAATGGTTCCCGAAAAATATAAGAATGCTGAAGGTCTCCTTTCCGACGGATCACGAGAGGAAGAATTATAATAAAACTTATTTTCTGTGTAAATACTAACGCATATATAATTACTTATCATAGTTGTGTGACAAAATCAAAATAACTATCAATAAATTACGCCATTACCTTGCATGTACTATATCCTTATGCGGTCTAAATCTTGTCATGAGATCCCTTTTGGTGTGCGCAGTTTTAATTTAAACAGGTTGTTGTAAGTTGCAGTTAGATTATCACATCGATCAAACAAATAAATAGGACCACATTAGAAAGTAATTCATTACCTTTTCCTCCACCGAAAGAATTTAATCATGACGGATTCCTTGTTTAGCTTCACCAGCAGCATTTTCGGTATTATTATTGTTAGTATTTTCGAGAAGGTCAAAGTCGCTGGCGTTTTGGTTATATTTCTTATTAACCTATTTTCCTTTGGTTTTAGCTCGTTCTTGATATAATCGCCATTTTCGAAATATTGAAGAGTAGGCGTACGAGCAGTGATAAAGTGTTATGGATTCTACTGATTGTTATTTTCCCTTTCATTGGCTTGATTTTGTATTTGTAAGTATAGATGACGAATGTGTCAACTTTGAAACTTTTGAACCAGAATAACAAACACATTAATCCTCTTTCATTAATATAGCCTTTTGTCCAAGCGTCAAGAATATAACAACAGATCGTTTATACCAATTCCTTAATTTTGGGGATTTTGAATCCTGGATGTTTCATTACCACACTTTCCATAGCAATGTAGCAAATGTAGCAATAGCAATAATAAATGATGAATCATAACTTTCTTAATATATTTAACACGTACCCGTGATTTTAATGTTACGTGTTTGTCGTCACCTTTACGTCATCTAAGCATATAAAAATCTCTGATCCGCGATATCATAGAACCATTTTCTCCTTTTTTTCTTTTTCTTTTTTTTCTGTAGTGAAAAATAAAAAAAATCATTACCAACCATAGTTTCTCAAGGCAATGAATAATAATACGCTTCTTCACTATTCGGGCGGCCTCGTTGGTCTTATTATTGTCGGTATTGCTTACAAACATCGAATATGCTATTGCACAACTTTCTTTTAAAAAACAAATTCGGTGGCGCGAGAGAATATAGAGTGTTTATTTACGGGATGAATACTTGTTCTTTAGCTTGTCCTCGACATTATAGTGATATTCGAAATTTTGCAATCATCCTGGCGAACAACAATCAATAAGCTATTGTGGATCTTGTTGATCATTTTTTTCCCTTTTATTGGTTTAATTATATATTTGTAAGTTGCTCACAACAGTCTAATTTTTCAAGATTTGTGACAGAGATATTTAATATATTTTTTTTTTTTTGGCATCAACACAGCTTGTTCTCTGATCGTGACCGTGGTGCATACGAAGCACTTCCTGGACCTTGAGATCCGGGCGTTGCTTGGAGACAAGATTGTTCGATGACACGAGGTTGTGATTTGAAATTTTGGTGCTATTCCTTGTATAATTAATATTTGAATAACCATTTCAAATAAAGCTGCTCCTATAAAATTACAAATTTCCTCGCAGCCCTGAAGTTTCTCTCGGTGATTTTAGGGAAGGGGGGGGAGTTTTTTCGCGCCACAAAAGAAGACTATCAATATATCAATATTGCTAAATTTTGATGCATGTCTCATTTGTTCATCGTTAATTTACACCTCACAGGCTTTGAGATCGGCTGTGGTCTCCACCTTTCTGATCTTCAAATATTAAGTAAACGTCACTTTCTAGGCTTCACTATCATGATTGGGCATCTTTGTTCACCGCAATTCGCTTATAAAACAAATAAAACTTAAAATTTTTTCGTTTGAAACGTTACGCTTTGCCTCTTGGCTTTGATTTCTTTGCAAAATATTTATTAATTGAATGCAAATTATCATCCAACGATCCTAACTCCCAGACTAACGAAGCCTTCGGCTTCTTCACGTGCCCCACTCATTAATCGTCAAAGGAAAGGATCTCTTTATCTATGGCTTAGAATCCGCGCCTCAATTGCCTTACTATGTGAAACTCTCATCTGTCGTGTTGAATTTCTATAAGAAAGAAGCGTCGTTTAAGTTGCCACCCATACGACTTGTAAAGTGCCCTTTCCCTTTTTCCTTGACAATATTTTTCCGCCACACGCGGCAAAAAAAAAAAAAAACGAAAGAAAGAAAAAAAGAAGACTTAGATAAAATAAATTATAATGGCTTTCACATTTCTTCACTTTGTTATCACCGTTTTAAGTGTTATTGTTGTAAGTAAAGGTCATCGTTTGTTTTTTAAACGAACTGGGATGCGGATTTCTTCACCTTTTTTCTTTTTCCATTCAAGCTTATCCTCGACATTATCACTATTTGGGAAGGTAAAATGCAACCTTTTATGCCTTTTTCATATCCATTCAGATAATAACTTGCTTTTTCCTTTAATAAAAGTCGCGGCAAGCAACCGTGGCCTATGTAGCAAAACACTCTGGATTCTGTTTATTTTCTTCTTCCCTTATTTCGGATTGTTCATTTACCTGTAAGTGATTTCCTTTGTTATCCATTCAGTTTTGCATCTCTAATGGAGCTTTATGCGTTTGAATGATCAGTTTATTCGGAGAGCGAGAAAAGCATAAGAAATTAGATTGGGGTTTGCCTTAAAGAACGGTGTTGTTTTTGGAGACTAGTTCGCGTGATTGTTTTTAAAAATGGGTTAATTTACCGAAGTAAACTTTTCCTCTGTAATCGTACGAAGAATTTCGCTGGTGTCCCTTTTCTCTTTTAATAGTAAAATTTCGAGCTCATATGTTTCTAATGTAGTAAACGGAAGGTTGATGTAAAGACTAGCTAATGCATAAACTCTCGTTGCGATAAACAAACATCGCACAATTATAAACGCAGAGATTAATTGTCATCAAAGTCGCATTATTATTACAAAAATCTATTCGTTCAGTGCTACCGTCTTAAGTGTGTGAAGGTCTTTATTATCTCATAATGAAGTGTATATAAATGACTAAGTTGTAGCAAGGATTTCGCGTATACCGTGGAAATTTTCCAAAATTATAAACCAAAAGGGAGACGACTGTGACAAGCTCCCAAAACCTCTCATAAACTAGGATCGTGCGTTTTAGAAAACATGGTGAAGACTGCAACTTCATTCGGCTCTATTTTCTTTTGAGTAAAGTTTTCAGCTACCGAAGTATTAAAATAAAACTGAATTTCGCGTGAATTGTATTTATAATAAATATATATATTTTTTAAATACTAGCTCATTCGTAGATTACATCTAAGGATAATTAGGATGAATATTCACCCATACTGTCTATAGTATAGAGAATACACTGTATGATCATCTAATATACTGTAGGTACTCTTTTTATAGAAATAAAGAAAAACAACTATGTTAGATTTTTATTTCAATATTTGATATTTTTTAAATTATTAAATTTATAAATAACTTATTACTACCTTCAATTAAATAAAAAATTTTATTTAAGATATT